ATGGGGGAAGCTGGATACATTTAACAACTGCGTGATTCACTTAACAACTGTAGTGCTTCGCTTAACCTTTGGGGGGGAAAGGTCATAAAACTGTGCGCGACTCACTAACAACCACCTAGGTTAGCAACGAAAATCCTGGTCCCAACTGTGGTTGTGAGTCAAGGACTATGTGTATCTCATCATACCAGGGAAGGAAATGGCTGGATCATCTGTGTGTCTGCAGTTTTCTTGCCAAGATTTTAGAAGCGGTTTGCCATTGCCGCCTTTCTAAGACTGAGAGAGAGTGACTGGCACAAGGTCACCCAGCTGACTTCATACCTTGGGTAGGACTCTAGGATGTAGCCTGGTACTTTAACCACTACCCCAAACTGGCTTCCCATCAAGCAGAATCCCCTTTCTGAATGAAGTTGGACAGCCATCAGCATCTAGATTTTTGCATAGTGAATAGTGGGTTGATCCTAACGGCCTTCAAGGGCCTTTTTGAACCTTGTAATTCTAGAATGATAGGGATGCTTGTCCATTCCTCCACACAGATGGTTGTCTGAGAAACAGCAACATGTTTAAGTATCTGTCTTGCAAACATTTCTCCAAAGAGCCATCTGTTTCCTACTTTGCATGAAGATGTGATCATATCAAGATCAAAGCTTTTTTTTTTTTTTTTAAATAGCAGTTGGAACCACAGCAGCACCCACGGGAGTCCAAAAAAGACAAAACAACAGCTTTAAAAATGTGGTCCCAGCAGTGGTGGGATTCAAATAATTTAACAACCGGTTCTCTGCCCAAATGACCAGCTGGGTGGGCGTGGCTCGGTGGTCATGTGACCATATAGGCGTGGCCAACTCAACGTCACTCATGTCGATGCGCGCGTCACCTTAGCTGTTACAATGTAATAAAGGTTAACCAGAGAGGCAGTTTCTGTAAGCAGGGCAATAAAGATTAGGCTAGAAACAACACCAGAATGTTTCCTTCCTGCCTTCCTTACAGGATTAGCTCTGTAAAGTGGAAAAAAACAAAATAAGATTTCTTCCAACAACCGATTCTCTGAACTGCTTAGAAAGTTAACAACTGGTTCTCCCGAATAGGTGTGAACTGGCTGAATCCCACCACTGGGTCCCAGCCACCATTGTGACTTTCCTGAACTCTCTGGGGATGCGAGTAGAGAGGGCAAAATAAAAAATATAGGACATTGAGGGGAAAAAGAAACATTTGCTTTTTCTTTTGGACGCTTTACTCTTCCTAGAGAGGTTTTTTTATTTTATTCTTTCTTCCCTCTGCTGACATTTGCTTAGTTTACATCTCTGAATTGTGTGACCTTCAAGGTGAGATAAATTTCAAATTCCCAGCACGAGGTTTAGCTGGTTCCGGAAGATTCCCAGCATGGCTGCACAGCAGGGAAAAGCTGTCTGATATGTGTAGGTCAGGAGCTCTGTTGCTTTCCTCGGCAGTCCTGCAATCTCTGCCACCTGAGTCATGTCCTTTCCTTCTTCCTTTTAATAATCAATAATGTCTGGGAAAGGAATATATAAGGAACCAACATTTAGCCTTTAAAGCAACGTTTCTCAAGTTTGCAATTTTAAAATGTGTGGATTTCAATTAGAATTCCCCAGCCAGCATGAGAGAAACACAGTTTGAAATAATTATGGAATAAGCAAAGTAACTTTCCTCAGCCATTTAGTTAGTGAAGTTTAAATGACAGATATCTTTGCTGAAATCACTATTTACCATGATATCCTTAAAAAAAATTAAATTAAGGATTTAAAAAAATAACATTCCATAAATAATTTCTACATTAAAACCTTCCTATAACAAGCCCTTTCAATTTTCAATATATCCTTCAGTTTTCATTTTAATCTATTATGAAATAGATATTGTCCTGTCAATCTACATAAAATAATTATTTCTTTCTTTTTGAGCAACTGGATTTTGTCAGAGACATTCTCATTAAGATTATCAACCTTTTTTTTTTAGTAAGACATTATCCAAATATTTCCACTGGTGGGCATGTTGTGTCTTTGTAAAAAGATAGATTATAATTTGCTGTAAAGTAAATACAGGATACAGTAGCTGGGTCACATCATTTGGACTTTGGTCCAAATGGACATTTTGACTTTGTAATTAGGCTCTGTGATTTCAGCTGATGGGAATTGTAGTCCAATAGTATTGAAGGGGACAAGGGTAGAGATATACGTAAGATAACTGCATAAGCCATAGTAGTTTTCTTCCGATTTATATGGCACTACAAAACAAGCATGGCAGAAATGATGCCCAAATGCCAGGCTAATGGGTTTTTCAAAAGCCTCTTTGCAGGCTGTAGTTGGAAATCGGATGCTGGAGTAAATAGAGCAGGGGTGTCAAACTTGATTTCATTGAGGGCTGCATCAGGGTTATGTTTGACCTCGGGGGACTATGGCTGGCTCGACGTCACTTGTGTTGGGGGCACCTGTGGTGGCCCAAGCGCTCTGCCAGCAAAAACAGGCTCCAGAGTTCCGTTTTCGGCTGGGACGGTCTCCTGCAACCCTCTGCCAGAGAAAATGGAGCTTGGGAGGGCCACTTGCTGGCAGAGGCACTGTGGGCCGGTCCTTTGCTGTTTCCAGGTTGGCCCCGCGGGCCAGATCTAAGCACCCCATGACCCAGATCTGGCCCCCAGGCCTTGAATTTGACACATCTGAAATAGAGCATCTTGCTGAGATGGAGAGCAGCAGGCCCAGTAGCAATGCCTGATTTGCCAGGCGCAGAAAGAAAGGACGTTCAACTATATGCCATTGAGGCAGCTTTTGGAAGCCAGTGGGCATCCTTTAAGCAGACTTCAGGTCCTTTTTTTCCTTATTTATCAGAGGTAGCAGACTGAGCTTATTTATTAGAATTACTACACCTTGCCTTTATCAGGAGTGTACATAGTGCTCCCTCTCCACAACAATCTTGTAGGGTAATGTTAAATAGTTTGTTCAGGCATGAATTAGGCTGAGGTTGCGTTTAAACAGAACACTTTATTAAACAGCAACAGGCATTGAGAAAACACGAACTAGGCTGAGGAGAACTGACAGCCTATTTATACTCCTTAGCTTGTCAAATGATAACCAATCAGCAACCACAGATACTCCCGCTTTAGGGAGGCCACGCCTCTTGGCCAATCACGGGGTGGCGTCCCCAGTTGCCGGGGCCGCCGAACACAACAGGTAAGTTGTGCTGGGAGAGAAGGACAGGCCCTAATTCAGCCAATGAGCTTCCATGGCCGAGTGAGGATTAATACCTGGGTCTCCCTGCCTCTCTAGGGCAGGATCTACACCTGAGGGCTCCTGAGCAGAGAGGGAGGGAATGGGCCAAAATCAGCCAATGAGCTGTTACAGCATCTGCTTCTAGTCCAGCACTTTCCAGGGCCATCTTAACAGCATTATGGGCCCTGGGCAAAGCGCTGTACTGGGGCCCCTACGACAACTACTCACAGGAATAAAAATGTAAATGGTTGATAAAATTAAACATATATTTGCATGTTAGTATTAATTTAAAAAATGCAGTAAAATGTAATAAATATGTTGCTGTATTTATATGATACAAGGTGCATTGAAGGGTTAACATGCACAGATTAGTATGGTGCCCCTATGCTCATGGGGCCCACGGGCAAGTGCCCATCAGGCCCATGCATTAAGACAGCCCTGGCACTTTCGCCACTACACCTGATTGACACTTGGACTGAGAGGGAGGGACTAGCCCAAAGTCAGCCAATGAGCTTCCACGGCTGAGGGGAGGGGGGGCAATTAGAGTTTCTCTGCTTCTTATCCAACATCTTCCTCAATACAGCTGGTGAAATTCCATTTCAGCCTGGCCAGTGGGCGCTGTTATTATTTTTAATGGCAGTGCTTTGATATAATGAGTTTTAAACGGCTGAGTTTTATAGTCTGCAATTTACCCGATTGATCCCTTGAGAGCTCTGTTTGGTAGCAAGAGAGCATTCTGGTTTAATAAATCAAGACTTCCCATGACTCCACTGATGGAGCAGGCAGCCTGCTAAAGGGGGGCCAATTTGTTTTAAATGTATACGTGTAAACATATTTTTATGACTGGAAGCCACCAAGAGTTACCCTATAGTAAGATTGGCAGCCAATAGATTTTATAAATAATAGATAGATAGATAGATAGATAGATAGATAGATAGATAGATAGATAGATAGACAGACAGACAGACAGACAGACAGACAGACAGACAGACAGACAGACAGACAGGCTGGCCGGCCGGCCGGCCGGCAGATAGATAGATACATACATACATACATACATACATACATACATACATACATACATACATACATACATTTGTGATCCTATAATCAGCTTTGGTTGTTATCCTGAGGATGAATAAGGAGCCTTCAGAAAACTCCCTTTTAATTCCATCTCCACTTGGGGATTATAGCTCAGAGGTGGCTTTCAGCAGGTTCTGACCAGTTCTGGAGAACCGGTAGTGGAAATTTTGAGTAGTTCAGAGAACCGGTAGTAAAAATTCTGACTGGCCCTGCCCCCGTCTATTCTCTGCCTCCCAAGTCCCAGCTGATCGGGAGGAAATGGAGATTTTGCAGTAACCTTCCCCTGGATTGGGGAGGGAATGGAGATTTTGCAGTATCCTTCCCCCGGAGTGGAGTGGGAATGGAGATTTTACAGTATTCTTCCCCTGCAAATGCCTACCAAGCCACACCCACTAAGCCATGTCCTGCCCACCAAGCCACATCCACAGAACGGTAGTAAAAAATTTTGAAACCCACCACTGTTATAGCTCCTCATCTACCATATCTGCCAGTCAAAAACTGTAAAGCTATTTAATAAATAATGCAGCTGGATTTCCAACCAGGACTGAATAAGTTAGCTGAATAAGTAAGCCCAGTCAGAATATAGTTGGCCTAGGAGTGTTTTCTAGAGCCAGTGAGGTATATATTATTCAGTAATCCACTGCTTAACCACAAGGTATAAAAATATTCTTTTTTTATTTGAACTTGTGGTTTTCTTCACAGATCCGCAGATGAAAAACGACTCTGAGGCAGCCAAGACAAAGCAACTGAATAAACATAAAAAAAGGATAAAAGCCAGGATACGTCTTGATGAAAAAACAGTCGGTGGGTCATGATTTTAAAAATATGAAGGTTAATTCATGATTTGAAGACATAAGGATACACAGGGCTGCCCGCAAGGATGGCAAAGAGTCAATATGGTGGCTGTGACCGGCCAAGCAAAGCCCCACCCCTTTTTAATGTGTGTGATGTCATATGTATATAAAGGGGCGGGGTTTTGATTGCAATTGTGGGCACCATCTTGACTTTTTTGACCACCCTGGTGGACACTCCTAGTGTTACAAGCTACACTTCATCCCCAGCATTCCATTCTATTGACTTCTGTCTTTTGTTTAGTTCTTCTTAATTCTGCTTTGATTTCTTCTTAATTGTGCTTAGACTAGAAAGGAATATAGATCATTCCAAAATTGGAATTAATAGCTTTCTGGGTTTGTTTTTTACAACTCTCCTTCCCCTCTTATAAAACATAGCTCTGAAATCAACAAAAAGATGAAGTTTTATTTTCAACAAAAGCTTTACCGCTGAAGTTTTAGTATTAGGAAAAATTTCATTACAGGTAGTCCTCAATTTACAATCTCAATTGAGTCCAAAATTTCTGTTGCTAAGCAAGACAATTGGTAAGTGAGTTTTGTCCCATTTTATGACCCTTCTTGTCACAGTTCTTAAATGAATTACTCCAGTTGTTAAGTTACTAATATCGTTGTTAATATATCTGGCTTCCCCATTGACTTTGGTTGTCAAAAAGCTGCAAAAGATGATCACATGACTACAACCATCATAAATATGAGCCAGTTGTCAAGTGTCTGAATTTTGAACATGTGACCATAGGGATGCTGCAATGGCTGTGTGAAAAAGAGCCTTGGTAGTACAGTGGTCTAAAGCACCCTGTTATTAAGACCAGCTGCCTGCAATTACTGCAGGTTCAAATCTCACCAGGCTCAAGGTTGACTCAGCCTTCCATCCTTTCTAAGGTAGGTAAATTGAGGACCCAGTTGTGGGGGCAATAAGCTGACTTTGTATAAATATACAAAAGGATGAAGGCTATTGCTTAGCACATTGTAAGCCACCCTGAGTCTCCGGAGAAGGGCGGCATATAAATCAATTTTTTAAAAAAAGCAAAAAAAAAACGGTCATAAGTCAATTTTTTCAGTGACTTTTATAACTTTGAATGGTCACTAAATGGTTGATTGTAAGCCTGGCCTAAATCTTCTCCCCTTTTAAATATAAATTTTAAGTACAAATTTTAATCTGTTTAAATTATGGGGTATTTTAAATTCAGCCAAATTATTTAATTCGTTTTTAATCGATTTAAAATTTTTGTATCTCTGTGTTTTATCTTCTGGCTGTTCACCGCCCTGAGTCCTTCGGGAGAAGGGCGGTATAGAAATAAATAAATAAATAAAAAAAGTCGAGGACTACCTGTACAGTAAGAATCTGGGTTAACAATTGTGTTTGCATAATATATGACTGAACCACAAGTGTCCTTATTTTATACAATTGATATAACAATGGATTTCTTTAGACATCATTGCTTATAATTCTATTTTCTTTATTTTAGTTGTGAAACACCCAAATTGTGGGTAGCTAAGCATCATATAAATTTGAAACAGAAATGAAGTGGAGAAAGCTCATTTGAAAACTTCTGCCTTTCTCAGTGCATATTAGGAATCTATTTTTTACCTCCCTTGTTTTGGTGTCTTGAAATCCATGTCCTAATAAATGGGGATTCTTGATTTCTTGATGTACCCATCTGTGAAATGGGCCTCTTTCTGGATGGCCTGGTGTGGAAAGACCTGTTGTAGGGTAGCAGCCATGGGAAAGTTTTTCCTCGTCTTCTACTTGCAGGGGAATGGACCTCTTGGTTCAATGTGGACCATCCTGGAGGCGAAGGGGATTTCGAGACGCTGGAGGCCATCCGGTTCTACTACCCTGAGCGCATCTGTGCCCGGCCCCTCTCTATCCAAGCCCGGACCACTAAGTGGGAGCTGCCCAAGGAAGTGGGGGAAGTTGTGCGCTTCAGCCCCCAAGAAGGCTTCCATTGCCTCAACAAAGAGCAGCTCAGCAATAGGACCTGCTCTAACTATCATGTCCGATTCCTCTGCCCTGTGGGTAAGTGTGAAATAACACTTATTTATCGGTGGAACAACTTGCCTCCAGAAGTTGTGTGTGCTCCAATACTGGAAGTTTCTCCTTAACTGGACAACCATTTGTCTGAAATGATATAGGAACCTTCAAATGTTGTGAGTGCTCCAACACTGGAGATTTTTAAGAAGAGACTGGACAACGATTTGTCTGAAATGTTATAGGGCCGTAATGGTGAACCTATGGCATGCGTGCCACAGGTGGCGTGCAGAGCCATATCTGTGGCCACGCGAGTGTTGCCCTAGCTCAGCTCCAGTGTGCATGCGTACGCCGGCCAGCTGATTTTTGGGCCTTCCAAGCCCACCGGAAGTTGGGAAACAGGCTGTTTCCAGCCTCCGGAGGGCCTTGGGGGGGGAGGTAGTTTTCACCCTCCCCAGGCTCCAAGAAAGCCTCTGGAGCCTGGGGAGGGCGAAAAATGAGCCTACTAGGCCCACCGGTAACCTTTTTGCAGGGGGGCTGCGTGCGCATGCGCGGGGGGTGTGGGGGGGGCATTGAATTATGGGTGTGGGCAGGTGTGTTCGTGACCCATGCCCACACTTCCCCCGTTTTTGGCATGCGACACAAAAAGGTTAGCCATCACTGTTATAGGGTTTCCTGCTTGAGCAGGAGGTTGGACTAAAAGACCTCCAAGGTCCCTTCCAGTGGTGGGATTCAATTTTTTTTACTACCAGTTCTGTGGGCGTGGCTTGGTGGGCGTGGCAGGGAAGGTTACTGCAAAATCTCCATTTCCACCCCACTCCAGGGGAAGATTACTGCAAAATCTCCATTCCCTTCCCACCCCACTAACCTGCATTTCAGTTCCCTCTGCAGGGCAACAAAAGAAGACCCAGCCAATCAGCTGGGACTCGATCAGCTGGGACTCAGGAGGCAGTGAATAGATGGGGGCGGGCCCAGTCAGAGGTGGTATTTGCCAGTTCTCCGAACAACTCCAAATTTCCATTACCGGTTCTCCAGAACTGGTGAGAACCGGCTGAATATCACCTCTGGTCCCTTCCAATTCTGTTATTAAGGTCCCTTCCAATTCTGTTATTAAGGATCTCCTGCTGGAGCACGGGGTTGGACTAGAAGACCTCCAAGGTCCCTTCCAACTCTGTTATTCTGTCATTCTGTCTCATTTTTATGGCCATGGTATAAAAAGTATGAAAAATCTAGGCTTTCTTGACCAGCCCAGGATATTGGCAAGTCAATTGATGACAGCCATTTAATTAGTCTTGTTATTAGTTCCCAGGGAGATCTGGAGGTACAGACATTTTTAAAAGCAGCTTTTGATCCTTAAATTACCTACAAGCATCCCACTTTTTCTGTCATCTATGATGACAGCCAAATGTACCTCCTTCTTAATGGTAGAGTAAGGTAGTTGCCCCCAAATAAACAAAGAAATATGAGTGAACACCTCTTAGTTTTTTATTTGTACCCAAAGAAACAAACAATATATCTAGCCTGCATTCTTTTCAATAAATAGTTCTCCTTCATGCCTCTTTATAAAGCTCACCTTGCCTTCAGAGCCAAAAACAGAGGATAAATAAATACGGTTTTTAGCAATTTTATTTTTTTGATGCTCTAAATGATTATTATAATTTTGAGACTCTGTAAGCCACCCAGAGATAGAGCTGTCAGATAGGCAGCAAAAATAAAAATAAAATAATGAAATAAAATAAATAATAAAATAAAATGATAAGGTAAAATAAAATATATAAATAATAAAATATATAAAAAAATTAAAAATGATAAAATAAAATAATAAAATAAAAAATATAAATAATAAAATATAAAAAAATAAAAAATAATAAAATAAAATAATAAAATAATAAAATATAAGATATAAGATAGAAAATAGAAAATATGATAAAATAATAAATAAAATAATAAAACAAATACATGATAAAATAAATAAATTAAAAGATATAATAAAATAAAATAAATGAAAATAAATAAAATTTTAAAAAATGATACTAAACTAAACTAAACTAAACTAAACTAAACTAAACTAATAAAGTGATTGGATTCTAGGTCCCCACAAAAGAAGACATCTTCAACGTAACATAATCTCGGAAGAAAAGCCTTGGTCATCATTGGTAAAGAGTTTACTGCCCAAACCATCACACTTCTAGACACAATTCACTTCCTGAGTTTCTTTTTCCCTTAATTCATTCTGCCCAACAGATCCTGTGCAGAAGCCGGGATGGTCAAGTTGGTCTCCCTGGAGTCCCTGTTCCCAGACAGCATGTGGCCTCAGCGGCATCGAAACCAGACACCGGACTTGTCTGAAGAACTCTGCACCAGTGCCGGGACAGCTGTCAAAATGCCCTGGGAAATCCATGGAACGTCGGACCTGCAGATCTGAACCCTGCCAAGGTTCGTTTTGGCCCTCAACCTACTTTAGTTTCATATTGGGGTCAGGGTGGGGAACATGGGGATCTGGGGGCAATTCAGATATTTCAGCTAATTTCTGACAAAGAATTTAGACAAAGTTGGTCCAAAAGGTGCTTTTTTGAAGACTTTCTAGAAAGTCGCCTCTTGAAAAAAGCATCATTGGGATAACCATGACTTAGATGACTTAGGATCTCCGTAGACATTGAGACAAAGTTTGTATGTTTTTTTTTAAATTACCAAAACGGATAAATATTTTATTAATGACTCTTCCCTCTCCTCCTTTTTATTTCACCCCCTGACATTTTCCCACCCACATCCTGTCTATGAATTACAATACTTTTTTTGCTGCCTTCAGGTCAGTTTTGACTCCTGGCGACTGCATGGACAAGTCCCTGCAGTTTTCTTGGCAAGATTTTGCAAGTGGTTTACCATTGTTTCGTTGCTAAAGCTGAGAGAGAATGAGTGGGCCAAGGTCACCCAGCTGGCTTTGGGCCTAGGGCAGAACTAGAATTCAGAGCCTCTAAGTTTCTAGCCTGTTGGTTTAACCACTAGCCCAAACTGGCTGTCAAGGTCTGAAATGCCATCTAGATTATGTGAAGCCGCTGACATTTTTCAAGACAGGAGAACTCGCTACTTGCCTGGGCAGTGAACACAGTTCTACCACGCCCAGGCCTGGGGTCAAGACATCACTTGCAAGGAATGTTAGCAATGGCCTTGCGGTCTCCAAAGGGCCAGAGAGCTTCTGTTTTTATGGGCAAAGCAATTCCTTTTTAATGAACATCATCCCTGCCAAGGTTTTCTGCCAAGTACGTTTTTGGGTAAGCATTAAACATTTTTTGTCCAGAAGATCTGACACTCGATCCTTTGTTCTGATGGGGCTAAGAGGTAAATTTGACCCTAAGTACATATACATCTATCAACTTTGCCTAAATTCTTTGTCAAAAAAAATAATGATTCAAAATATCAGCCCGGCACAGTGTGTTTTCTTGAGCTTGGTGATGGGAATTCCAGGGATGGCAGCTGACCTGCGATGCCCAATGAAGGGTTCCAAGTGAGAAAAGCATGTGCCACTAACAATAAAAAATTGAACAAATAAGGTTTTTCCCATTGCTGCCCTGTGTGATTTGCTACTCAGTCTTTCTTCCTTCTAAATCTCTGGAGGACAAGGGGTTTAATCCTGCCAGTGTGTTTATTTTATTTTATTAGATTTTTATCTCACCTTTATTACTTTATCAAGTTTAATTTGCCCAAGACAGCAAACATACCCACTTCTTCTTTGTTCCTCCTCCACAACAACAACCCTGTGAGATGGGTTGGGCTAAAAGAGAGTGACTAGCCAAAATCCTGCTATATTTGTGTAACGTAGCCAGTATGGAAGTGGATTTGCAGCACAACAACACTGCAAAAAGACAGCTGTGTTAATCTTTGGTAGCCAGAAATGAAGGAGCGGTTATATAGCATATGGCATATGCTTTTTAATAAAATATGTTGATCAGAAAGGATGCTACTGGACTGATTTGAGGGGATTAGAGGCCAGTCTCTCTCTCTCTCTCTCTCTCTCTCTCTCTGAGACTAATCTACATTATTGGATTAAATGAGGGATGCGGTAGCTCAGTGGCTAAGATGCTTCAGCGGTTCAAATCCCTAGTGCTGCGTAACAGGGTGAGCTCCCATTACTTGTCCCAGCTTCTGTCAACCTAGCAGTTCAAAAGCATGTAAAAAATGCAAGTAGAAAAAATAGGGACCACGTTTGGTGAGAAGGTAACAGCGTTCCGTGCGCCTTTGGCATTTAGTCATGCCGGCCACATGACCATGGAGACGTCTTCGGACAGCGCTGGCTCTTCGGCTTTGAAACGGAGATGAACAACTAGCACATATGTGCGAGGGGAACCGTTACCTTTACCTTTAAAGGTAAAAATTAGAAAGAATATTAGGTAACCCTGCAGTTCCTAGAGCTAAGATGGTATATTGATCTAATGAATAAAGAAGTATCATTTTGCCAAAATGTATTTATTCCTATTTATTTGCTTCCCCTTCCTAAACTTATTTTAAATGGATTTTTAAAATACATAATGTATCTTACATTATTCTTTTGTGGACTTAAGAGTTCGTCCCTTCCTCTTTTCCTACAGTCATTGTCATTTTTGCTACTACGTTATAGTCTTGCTCTTCAGCCTTAAAAAAAGCCTCCCAAAGTGGCATGCAAAGCCATGATTAAGGTACCTCCTGCTTTTAGATTTATACAAGAAAAGTCCCAACTCAAAAGGAAATGGAATTGGGAGTGCAGAAGAAGAAAAAAGCAGAGTTGAGCACTCATTCCTCATTATGACTTTGTACCTCCTGTTTCTTCTCTACTCAAAAGTTGGTGCTAAATGTTCCTCTCTTTTGCTATTCCAATTTATCTGTCCAATGTATATCTATAAAGGGACAAAAATATATAAATAAAAAAAATTATATAAATAAACACTTTGGAAAAAGTGCAAAGAAGAGCAACTAAGATGATTAAGGGCCTGGAGACAAAAACATACGGAGAATGGTTGCAGGTATTGGGTATGGCCAGTCTAGAAAAAGGAAGCACTACGGGTGACATGATAGCTATATTCCAGTATTTGAAGGGCTGCCACAAAGAAGAGGAGGGGTCAACCAGTGGTGGGATTCAAATAATTTAACAACCAGTTCTCTGCCGTAATGACCAGCTGGGTAGGCGTGGCTGGGTGGTCATGTGACCGTGTGGGTGTAGCCAACGCAACATCACTCACGTCGATGGGCGCTTCGCCTTAGCTGTTACAATGTAATAAGGGTTAACCAGAGAGGCAGTTTCTGTAAGCAGGGCAATAAAGATTAGGCTAGAAACACCACCAGAATGTTTCCTTCTTGCCTTCCTTACAGGATTAGCCCTGTAAAGTGGGAAAAAAACAAAATAAGATTTCTTCCAACAACCGGTTCTCCGAACTGCTTAGAAAGTTAACAACCGGTTCTCCTGAATAGGTGCGAACTGGCTGAATCCCACCACTGGGGTCAACTTATTTTCCAAAGCACCAGAAAGCAAGACAAGAAGCAATGGATGGAAACTAATCAAGTAGAGAAGCAACCTGGAGTTAAGGAAAAACTTCCTAACAGTGAGAACAATTAACCCGTGAAACAGCTTGCCTTCAGAAGTTGTAGGTGCTCCATCACTGGAGGCTTTTAAGAAGAGACTGGACAGTCACTTGTCTGAAATGGTATAGGGTCTCCTGCTTGAGCAGGGAGCTGGACTAGAAGACCTCCAAGGTCCCTTCCAGCTCTCCAGTGGCATTTAATAACTTGGTGGGCAGACATTCTTTTAGGGGAAAACTCCACCGTTTTCTCTGTTCAAAATGTGAGTCTGGGGCTTTGGATTGGAGAAGCAGGCCAACTGCTTGTCTTTTTTTGCTTACCTTCTCAGGCACAAGAATTGCTGTTCTAAAATTGGTTGGAAGAGACCTTGAATTTTTACTTGGTGTAACGCACATGATTTTTTTTGCATAAGTCATAGAATAAATTTGTAACAAAAAAAGAAACCAGAAAAAGCGTTTGTGGTTTGGGAGCAGAGGCTGGAGAAGACAGAGAAGAAAAAAAATGGGACTTTTGTCAACAGTTCCAAAAGAGCTTTGCCAATGCAAGTCAGGGCAGGGTGCCTAAAAGCACCTTAATGTTCATGCTTTAAGAGGCAAAATGTTCCTTGTGTCAAGAGATCTGACCTTCCAAAGTAATTTTCACATCCTTCCTTGAGGTTGGATTAAAATCTGAAGAACATCAATCTAATATACATTTGCAAAAATTATAATAAACAGGGTTTTTTTAGTATTGAATACCCATGGATCTCTGTTTTGTTTAAGAGAAGTAAATATATACACAAAAATGGCATAGTATTACTGTATATGAAGACACACCTCAACTAAAACTCTTTCATGGGATTACTAAATAAAGGGGCACAAAGGTGATCCCCGAGTTTTCTTGTTCACAGATTTTGAAGCATAAACATAAGCATGTCTTCACAGGCATACAAGCTACAAGTAGTCCTCAACTTACGACCACAATTGAGCCCAAAATTTCTGTTGCTAAGTGAGAAATTTGTTAAGTGAGTTTTGCTTTTGCCCCATTTTACGACTTTCGTTGCCACATTTTTTTTTATTTTTTATTTTATTTGATTTATATGCCCCCCTTTTCCGGAGACTCAGGGCGCCTTACAATGCGTTAAGCAATAGCCTTGATACTTTTGTATATTTATACAAAGTCAGCTTATTGTCCCCACAATCCAGCTCCTCATTTTACCTACCTTAGAAAGGATGGAAGGCTGAGTCAACCTTGAGCCTGGTGAGATTTAAACTTGCAGTAATTGCAGGCAGCTGATGTTAATAACAGTGCTTTAGTCTGCTGCGCCACCAGGGCTCTTAACATTTGTTAAGTGAATCACTGCCGTGGTTAAATTAGTAACCCAGTTGTTAAATGAATCCTTCTTCTCCGTCGACTTTGCTTGTCAGAAGGTCGCAAAAGGGAATCACATGACCCCGGGACACTGCAACCGTCATAAATGTGAATCGGTTGTCAAGCATCCGAATGTAAATGCATCAGGTGACCATGGGGATGCTGCAATGGTCGTAAGTGTGAAGTCACTTTTTTCATTGCTGTTATAACTTCGAACAGTCACTAAATGAACTGATGTAAGTGGAGGACTACCTGTATTGATTGCCAATAGGAGAGACATCTGTAGGTCAAGGTTGAACTGTGGGGTCCTTGGCGTTATCTGAGTTGGGTTGTTTCTTGCAGAGGTTTCATTACCCAACTAAGTAACATTATCACTGCTAGCACTGATGATGCTACCTAGCAGGGTAATAAAATGTTTGCAAGAAAACAACCCCGCTCAGAGAGCACCAAAGCTATTGATTTCCAGAGGCCTCAGTGACCGTCCAAGTAAAAATATGTAGGGCTGATGTCAGCTATGCCAGTTTCAGAAACTGCTAGATAGGTTGTTCTATGAAGGCAAATGCACAACTGATTGTTAATGCCAGTGGCTTCTCTTGCCCTCAGAACTCAAATGGAGCCAATGGGGTGCCTGGAGTCCTTGCTCAAAAACATGCGGCAGTGGTGGGAAGCAAGTGCGGCGTCGAAGTTGTCAAAAAACTAAGCACTCACATTGTGTGGGGCGTCCCTTGGAGGTGAAGATATGTGCCAACATACCTTGTCCAGGTAATGAACCTCTCTGACTGTGTTTAACCTTTCTTCAATAGTTACAGTATGTGACTCGTATGCATATTTCTTGTGGCCCTCGCTGTCCCCGCCACAAATTCTTCAAGGCAACATTTCTGTTAATCTGCATGTCGAACACTGAGTTTAGAATTTGCAGGATGAATACTGTTGGAAGAAATGTCCATCTGGGTTCAGTTCCAAGTGGGGAGAAAGACACTGGAAACATGGAGACTGCTTGAAAAGATGGTTTAATGGTGGACAGGATCACATGGTTTTGAGGTCCTGGGCAAAAAAGGCACATGGGTGAGAGAGAGATTTGTACCCTCTGTTGGGCTTTGAATTTGAGCTTGTATTCTGATTGGTTGTCAGACTCCCATGGGGCCATGCAGGGGTAACTTTGTAGGTTGTCTTTTGAATCCCATGCTTGGTTGAGCCTTGTTGGGTGATGCAATCTCCCCAGGTGCCATGTGCTGAGTTCTGTTGCTAGAGGGGTAGAGGCAGGGGTGAAATCCAAAATTTTCCCCTACCGCTTCTGTGGGCGTGGCTTGGTGAGCGTGGCAGGGGAAGGATACTGCAAAATCTCCATTCCCATCCCACTCCAGGGGAAGGATACTATAAAATTTCCATTCCCTCCACTCCTGGGGGAAGGATATTGCAAAATCTCCATTCCCACCCCATTCTGGGGCCAGCCAGAGATGGTATTTGCCGGTTCTCCGAACTACTCAAAATTTCCGCTACTGGTTCTCCAGAACCTGTTAGAACCTGCTGGATTTCACCCCTGGGTAGAGGGCTAATCCTATCTTTGTTGGATCTTGGGTGAGGGCATTTGCTTATGAATAGATCTAGCCATCTCTTTATCTCTTAAATGCGGACATCTGCTGTGGGCTATTAAGAGTGAGTCTGCTTCCTGCCTAAAAAACATGTTTCTCCATTTCTCATCCAGGGAGATATAATATTCTGCCTTTTTAACATTTCCTAGAATATTTCATTCTTCTAGGAGAGGGGTGGGTGCTAACTTCCTACAATACCAAAGGAGGGAAGCGAGGACTTTAATAAATCTTATAAAAGATTAAGAAATGGCTTAACCATGTCAATCATGAGGATACAAGCCCAATTAGCCAGAGGAGCAGGGAAGGTTCATGTCCCCAAATTCAGTTCACCAGAAAGCTGGGAAAAGGGGGCCACTCTTAGAGGCCTTTTCTCCACTCCCCCCAGCCTTCCGAATCCTCACCTTGATTCAGGGGATAATTAGAAATCAGTGTTTATATTTCTGCTCATTGCAAAAGGAAGAGATTACAAGCACACAATGTCGAATACACATCGCAAGGCTTGCCTTGGTGCCAGCAAGCTTAGGATACAAAAGGAGGATCATGGCAATTTCAGATAGCAGCACAAGCTGGGCCTGGGTGCTAATTAACTAATCGTGATTACAGAGCTGAGCTGATTTGCAGCTTTCAGGGAAGCATAGCCTGTAGGCAAAAGAAAAGGAGTTTAGGAAGAGAGAGGTTGTCAAGCAATTTCTCCTCTGCAAGGGAAGAAATTCTCCCTGAACAGGAGGGGGGAAAAAGTACAAAAAATACAAGTTAGGCATAACAGGCAGTTTTCGGCTTTGGCTGAAGAAAGATACCTCAGCATTCCTTATTTTGCAATATTTGCTAACTCACTGCTCCAGTGGTGGGTTTCAAATTTTTTTACTACCGGTTCTGTGGGTGTGACTTGGTGGGTGTGGCATAGTTTGGTAGGCACTGCAGGGATAGGATACTGTAAAATCTCCATTCCCACCCCACTCCAGGGGAAGGATACTGTAAAATCTCCATTCTGTCCCCAATCCAGGGGAAGTTTAATGCAAAATCCCCATTTCTTCCCAGTCAGCTGGGATTTGAGAGGCAGAGAATAGATGGGGGCAAATGGAATAGAATAGAATTTTTACTACCGGTTCTCTGAACTACTCAAAATTTCTGCTACCAGTTCTCCAGAACTGGTCAGAACCTGCTGAAACCCACCTCTGCACTGCTCACTCCAGGAGTTTGAATCTGATATGGCTCAAGGTCGACTCAGCCTTCTATCCTTCCGAGGTGGGTAAAATGAGGACCCAGATTGTTGGGGGCAATAATGCTGACTCTGTAAAACTGCTGAGAGAGGTCTGTAAAGCACAGTGATGCGGTATATAAGTCTAAGTTCCATTGCTGTTGCTATGGAAGCCCCTCCCTCGAGATTGCTGCATCGCTCATAAAAACATAGCAGACCTCAATTCCTTATAAATCCTTGCTAGAAGAAATATCCATTTGGTTCAGTTCCAAGCTGGGAGAAAGACATGGAAACATGGAGGCTGATTGGAAAGATGGTTTAATGAAGCAGAATCACATGGGTGGTTCTGGTGCAGCTGACCACATGGAGTTGAGAGTGGGAGGTATTTATACCTTCTCTTGGGCTTTGCACTTGAACTTCCTGTTCCTGTACAAGAACATTTATTCTATTGGCTGTTGTCAGACTTCCATGGGGCCATGTACAAATCCTAGGAGTTTGTCTGAGCTAAGCTTGGTTGAAGTTTGACAGATGCAATGAAGGGGCTTGTTGGGCAATTCCTATTGTGTCTGAGGGCTAATCCTACCTTTGTTGAGACCTTGCTACAGGGAATTTTTGCCTATGAATAGAGCTACCTAGATCTCAATAAGCTTTTTATCTCTTAAGTGCTGACATCTGCTGAGGGCTATTAAAAAGGTGGGGCTGCTTTCCAAGAGCATGTTTCTCCATTTCTCAACCAGGGAAATATAATGATCTGCCTTCTTTAATATTTCTCAAAATGTTTCATTCTTCTAGGAGGGGTGTGGATGCTAACTTTTTACATCCTCATTTGCTCCTACCCTTCTGTAATAAGCCCTGACTCTTAATGCACCCTCTTGGTTCTCTCTTCCTAGCTTGCCAGCTTAGCTGCGCCATCGGCATCCCCAACAAGGACTGTACTGGCTGCATTTGTCCCAACCACACACTCTTGGGCACTGTACGGAGGGCCGATGGGATGCCCCTTGCCGATGCTCAGATATCCCTCGCAGATCAGCCTCTCGCCCCCTTGGCCCAAAGCAATAGTTGGGGTCAGTTCGCCATCCGTGGCATCTGTGCTGGCAATAGCACCAACGTCAGTGCTAAGCTTGAGCGCTTTGCACCAGGTAGTGCCTCACCTGTTGTCAATGGCTCTGGGACCTCTTTGGTGGAGATCATACTCCACAGACTGGGTAAGTGAACTGTGGAGACAGGCTGGGGGTGAGAAAATTGTGGTCATAAGTCAAGGACTACCTATTCCTGATCTGCAAGCTGAAGGAAGCCGCCCTCCCCCCCAATAAAATATGAGAAGATTGCTTTACTGTGCAGCTCCCACCCACCCTGTAGATTAGAATAGAATAGAATAACAGAGTTGGAAGGGACCTTGGAGGTCTTCTAGTCCAACCCTCTGCTTAGGTAGGAAATCCTATACCAGTGATGGTGAACCTTTTCAGCACCGAGTGCCAAAAAGGGAGCATGCGTGGCACCGAGTGCCAAAAAGGGAGCACTTTGTGCATGCACACGTGCCAATTAGCTGGCCAGGGCACATGCTCACACTGGAAAATGGAAGACCAGCTCTTCCGATTTCCGACACTGATGCAAGCACAAAGGCCAGCTGATTGTCGTGTGCGCCTGCGCACCAGAAACCTGGAAGAGGAATGGGCACCGCCGCGCATACCAGACAACATCACAGCTCTATACCATTTCAGACAAATGATTATCCAATCTCTTCTTAAAAACTTCCAGTGTTGGAGCATTTACAATTATATTTACAATTGACATAAGTTGGTTCCAGATTTTGATAAAGGGCTAAACCCATGGGTCTAATAATTAATGGTTAATTATTTGAATTTTTTAAATCTTATCTTTATTATGATTTATAAATAATGCAAGGCAGCAAACATACCTAATACACCTTCCTCCTCTTATTTTCCCCATAAAACAACCCTGTGGGTCAGGTTGGGCTGAGAGAGAGGGACTGGTCCAAAGTCACTCAGTTGGTTTTTCATGTCTAAGGCAGGACTAGAACTCATGGTCTCCTGGTTCCTAGGCCAGCATCTTCTTAACCACTAATATTCTCTGAATACAAAAAAATCAAGACAGAAAAAATCTGGCAGAAAGCTGCAATAGAGACTGTAGAGCCATGATGGCGAATCTATGGCACGCATGCCACAGGTGGCACGTGGAGCCATATCTGTGGGCACGCGAGCGTTGCCCTAGCTCAGCTCCAGCACGCCAGCTGATGTTTGGGCCTTCCAGGGAAACATTCAGGGAAATGGGCTGTTTCCGACCTCTGGAGGGCCTCCGGGGGGCATGGGGAAGGCTGTTTTTGCCCTCCCCAGGCTCCAAGAAAGCCTCTGGAGCCTGGGGAAGGCGAAAAACGGGCCCTGGGCCCACCATGCCATCGTGTGCCAAAAGCGGTGGAGGTGCGGGGGGCGGGAGCAGGGGGGCATTGAATTATAGATGTGGGCACATGCGGGCGTGACCCTCCCGCACTCCCCCCGCTTTTGGCACGCAATGGCAAAAAGGTTAGCCATCACTGCTATAGAGGCAGCACTGGAACTGGCACTGAGGGCAGCAGAGTTTATGCTCAGAGTTGGGTAGAGGGCATTTCAGCTGAACCCTGGGTCAAAGACACTGAACCCGGCTAACTGAATTAACCCATTTTTTTTCAATTGATTGGCCAGTGAGGCAACCCTAAAAGCAGGCTGAATCCCCTGACCTTGTGAAACAGTATATGCTGTGACTGCATCTGCTAGATGTAAACTTTGTTGTGTAACACTTCCTTGAACGTCATAAAAACTGACAAATTACACATGGTTCAATTCTGGAATTAATGTTGGAAATGTCCCAGCTAAATTGGAATTCGGCTAGCCAATTTGGAGGCATAGCAAACCCATAAAACACTGAAGGAAGATGAAGGGAAAACTCATCATCCATAAATTGTCTGTTTTGGTGAGATAAACGTACTTTTGTCAGATTAATATTTTTGTTTGTCCCTTCCCTTCCCTCTTTTGTCCCCTTCTGTCTTCCTTTCCTTTCCTTTCCTTTCCTTTCCTTTCCTTTCCTTTCCTTTCCTTTTCCTTTCCTTTCCTTTCCTTTCCTTTTCTTTCCTTCCCTTTCCTTTCCTTTCCCTTTCCCATCCATGACAGAACAACTTTACATGGTGACCAGTCCTGAATCAAAAGTGAGGATGGTTGGAGAAAAAGTGAGGTTCTGCTGCAGAGCCCAAGGCACCCCTGAACCCCAAAAATATTACTGGTGAGTCATGCTGAAGGTGGAATTAAGGAGAGCAGAGGAAAAACTCATAGTGGAACTTGAACTTGTGTCTGGCTCATTCTCTGGGAATACCGTTTCCCCGAAAATAAGACCCAACTGGAAAATAAGCCCTAGCATGATTTTTCAGGATGCTCGTAATATAAGCCATATCCCCAAAATAAGCCCCAGTTAAGATCGTCAGCAGACGGAGGCATTTAGTACTGTATTTCCCTCAAAATAAGACCTAACCGGAAAATAAACCATAATGCGTCTTTTGGAGAAAAAATTAATATAAGACCCGGTCTTATTTTGGGGGAAACATGGTAAAAAGCTGAAGTGATGAAGGGAATAAAAAAAGGAGTCCTCAACTACTTTCTCTTGCTATTATCATTTTTGCCGTACAGTCCTGTCTTTGTGAGAGGAAGTTGCAATCACAACCTTGGAACTTGCATTACTCGCTCTTGTTTTTAAACAGGAACTTCTTGTGTATTATCCAGCAATAATCCCAACAGACATCCCTGTATGATGTCAGTGCTATGCACCATTTTGCAGATGAGAAGACTGAGGCTGGTGCTAGCAAACAGGAAAAACTGGATCCCTTGACAGGTGGAAGCAAAGTTAGAGTTTTCTGCATCTCTTTGCTGCCATCTGGTGACCAACTGTTTTTTTGCAGCCCAGATTTCAGGCTGAGGAAAATTGGCAGGTCTAACATTTCATGAGGAATGCAAAATTCTAATGTATTTCTTTTTTCAAATGTAAACTTGCCATTCTGAATCAAGACTCTCAGAAGTTTAAGAGCATCAGATTAGAAAACAAGCAAACAGAGTAGGATCAGGTCAATTAAACATAAGCCCCAAAATGAACTATTAAAAATTAATGTCAGTCTATCATGACACCTGTCACTCACCTGAGACCCTCTAGTCCAGGGGTCTCCAACCTTGGCAATTTTAAGACTTGTGGACTTCAACTCCCAGAGTTGAAGTCCACAAGTCTTTGCTGGCTGAGGAATTCTGGGAGTTGAAGTCCACAAGTCTTTGCTGGCTGAGGAATTCTGGGAGTTGAAGTCCACAAGTCTTAAAGTTGCCAAGTTTGGAGATCCCTGGTCTAGTCTAAAACAACTTTTCAGTAGATGCCAGAAGACATTTGTGGAAACTTGGGACACCCTGATCAATCATTACATTTGTTGTCTCTGGCCTCAGCCACTTCTGAGTCCAATAAAGGCTGCCAGTAAGAACTGGCCTTTATCTCTTGAAAACCCAGCTAGGTTTTATAGGGCCAAATACATTAAACTATTTCATATAAACTTATTTGAAAAACAAGACCATAAAAAGTTGAGATTATACAATTGGGGAACATGGATCAAAGGCTTTTTGAAAACGTCACCGAAACATCCCATGTAAAAAATAAAGGAACTCTTTATGTGTGCATTTGTGGCTACAAGCAGACACACACACACACACACACACACACACACACACACACACACACAGAGGATTGGAGAACATTTCAAGTTGTAGGTTCAACTGAGGTAAAAGCAATTTCGAAGCCAGGATAACAAAAGACTGAAACACCTGGTTTTTTGGCTCTGTTCCTTTTCTGTTCAACCTGATCTGCCCTACTGCCATACCATCAATTTAGCAAGCTTTCTAAATGGAATGATGACTCTTTTTTTAAAAAAAAATTCAAAACCAACAGCAGGGTGAGCTAAAGATGAGGATCATGGGTGGAAATGAGGCTTTATCTAGATATATTTTTTTAGTCTGGAGAACATTAGAGTCCAAGGACTGTTTTGGATTTGGGAAGTGAAATACATCCCAGAGAGCAGTGAATGACCCAAGCAGCTTTTGCTGCCAAGAATATACATATTCATATAGTCAGTAGGAGCGGAGCTTTTTTCTATTAGAGTTTACCAATTCAAAGATAAAAGGCTAATACAAATGAAGAAAAATGTAAAAAGTGAAGAAAAAGAAGTGCAAAGAGATAGAAAAAAATAGAAAATATATAAAATATGACTGCCCACTCCCTCCAGACAAGTACCCTGTTTTCCCGAAAATAAGACATCCCCTGATAATAAGCCAAATTGGCCTTTTGAGGGCATGCGCTAAAATATGCCCCTCCCCGAAAATAAGCCCTCCCCAAAAATATTTAAATGTATGCGCAGCCGGTCCCCACCATTTCCTCTGGTTAGGGTTAGGGAGACAGAGCTGGAAATCAAGTAAGACAGCAAGAGGAGCCCATCTTGCTCCATGCGCCCCAAAATAATAAGACCTCCCCAAAAATAAGACCAAGCACTTATTTCAGGGTTCAAAAAAATATAAGGCTGTCTTATTTTCGGGGAAACATGGGTATAAACTTCAGAAACTTAAAACCCTGTCTAATATTTCAATAAGAAGGTCTCTTCTTCCCATATCACCCCTTATAATAAAAAAAATCAAATCATTAAAAACTCATAAAGATGCTTTTTCAAAAGGCAACTGGACTTTGTTTTTCCTTGAAGACGTTTCGCTTCTCTTCCAAGAAGCTTCTTCAGTTCTGACATCAGTGAAACTGAAGAAGCTTCTTGGATGAGAAGCAAAATGTCTTCAAGGAAAAATGAAGTCCAGTTGCCTTTTGAAAAAGCCCTTTGGGGACAACCATGATTGGGATGATTGAGAATCTCCATAGACATAAAAACTCATAATTCAGCCCTAATTTGCAAAAGTCTATTAAGAGTTACTAGAAATAGTAACATACTGTATTTTAAACTTATTTAACAGATTAACAGAGTTGGAAGGGACCTTATAGGTCATCTAGTCCAACCCCCTTAAATGTAATAAATCTATTTTGTATTCTAACTTATCACTTTCTCTCAAAAATAAAGGAAAGATTGCTTAAATAGGAACTCGATTGTGGCAATCCTTACATTTATTTGCCTCACCCTAAAATCTCAGTGTGTCATGCACAAAACAGTGAGAAAAGTTATGGTTTAATGAAAACTTACTTTTGAAGTTTGGGGAATGGAAACAGTGTATGGAACTGACCAAGGAAGAAATTAATTGCTGCCAATTCAAATATAAGTGGTTTTTTTTTTCTTTCTGCCTCTTTCCATCCCCTTCTTCTGTTTCTCTAGGTATCACAATGGAACGCTTCTGAGCTGGAAAACATACAATTACAGCAGGAGCTTAGTGTTACGTGATTTGAGAACTCACCAAGCTGGCTTATACCACTGCAAAGCCAGCAATGACCACAGTTCAATCAAATCCTCTGCTGCCCATTTAACAGTAATAAGTAAGTAGCTGCATTTTTTTGTGACAGGGCCTTCTTGAAATATCTGCTTTCGGGATAATGTGGTTTGTTTGAGCTTGGCTCAGTATTGGGTGAACATAGCCACTGTGATATAATATGAATCATAATGCGTGCCTTATTTATTTTGATTCCTAAAGTTGCCCACCCACCTGCAACTCTGGGCAGCTCATAAAGAAAAATCATAATAATTTTTGTGTGTTTGTGCCTTTGAGTTCAGTGTTGAATTTTACAGGATTCCCATAAGTCTTTAGATTGAAATCTTTCTTGGTGCTGGAGGTAATATGCAGTATTAAGAACGGTTGCAAGAACTGGGTATGTCTAGTTTAATGAAAAGAAGGACTAGGGGAGACATGATATCAGTGTTCCAATATCTCAGGGGCTGCCACAAAGAAGAGGGAGTCAAGCTATTCTCCAAAGCACCTGAGGGCAGGACAAGAAGCAATGGGTGGAAACTAATCAAGGAGAGAAGCAACTTAGAACTAAGAAGAAATTTCCTGACAGTTACAACAATTAATCAGTGGAACAACTTGCCTCCAGAAGTTGTGAATGCTCCAACACTGGAAGTTTTTAAGAAAACATTGGATAACCATTTGTCTGAAGTGGTGTAGGGTTTTCTGCCTAAGCAGGGGGCTGGATTAGAAGACCTCCAAGGTCCCTTCCAACTCTGTTACTCTATTCTATTCTATTACCTTCTCAGGAACAAAAGATGGACTGAGAAGCCTCTGCCAAGATGGATTCTTTGCTACCTACCTCTTGTGATATCACAGCAGCCCCCTTTTGCCTGTTATTCATATGCTAAACATCACGAATCTAGTATAACTGGGTCTTAGCAGTTCTAATCTCATCCTCTCATTCTTCTTTCAGGTCCAGATGTTCCAGCATGTAGAGCCCGGCCAGAGGAATACCTCATAAAACTCCCTGATGATTGTTTTCAAGAGGCAACAGGTTCCCACTTTTACAATGTTGGTCATTGCCCCAGTACTCCCTGTGCTGGAAACTCTTCAGATGGCCTGAGGTGCCAGGAAGATGCTACTCAGCACTGTTGTGGGACACAACGCATGGAAGTGAAGGAGATCCATTGCACGGGTTACATCCTTCCCGTCAAAGTGGTTGCAGAGTGTGGTTGTACCATTTGTACTCGGCCCAAAGTCCTGGTTCGGGGCAAAGCATCAGCCGCTGACGATGGCGAACCTCTCCGCTTTGGTGAGATCTATCTGGGTGCAGAGAAAATTGGCTTCACTGGGTATAAAGGCACATTCACCATAGAGGTGCCACCCGACACAGAGAGACTTGTGGTCAGGTTTGTGGATCGGCTGCAGAAATTTGTAGACGCTGTCAAGGTTTTCCCACTTGACCAACGTGGAGGGGCTGTTTACCAAGAAGTCAAACTGATGAGGAAGAAGAAGCCCGTTGACCTGCCATCATTGGAATCTAATACTATTCCATTGGGAGAAGTAGCTGGAGAAAATCCTATTGGGGAGATAGTCATCCCACCTGGCTCTTTCTTCAGATCTGATGGGCAGGTGTACAATGGGACCGTCAAGGCAAGCATTACTTTTGTGGATCCACGGGACATTGGTACAGTGAGCACTGCCTCCAGTGACCTGAATTTCATCAATGCCGAAGGAGATCTCTTCCCTCTCAGGACATATGGCATGTTTTCAATGGATTTCTGGGAAGAAGAAACACGCCGGGGCTTAGAAATCGGGCGGGTGGGGATAAAGATGGACACTGACCTCATCAAAACTCTGGAACATACAGAGAAAATGAAACTCTGGTCCCTCAATCCTATAACAGGCCTATGGGAGGAAGAAGCATCTCTCAAGCTGGCCAAGAAGAAACGCAAGAAACGGGAGGAGAGAAATTTCTTGATTGGCAATTTGGAAGTCCGGGAAAGGCGCCTATTCAATCTGGATGTTGCAGAAAGCCGTCGCTGCTTCGTCAAAGTCAGAACATACATCAATGAAAAGTTCTACCCTAGTGAGCAGCTAGAGGGAGTGGTTGTGACTCTCGTCAATCTTGAGCCCAGACCTGGTTACCCTTCTAATCCTCGGGCCTGGGGTCGATTTGACAGTGTGGTGTCAGGTCCCAATGGTGCATGTTTACCTGCTTTCTGTGATAGCGAGAGGGCTGATGCCTACACGGCCTATGTCACAGCAACCATGGGAGGAGAGGAACTGGAGGCTGTTCCTTCAAGCCCAACGCTCAACCCTCGGGCTATAGGAGTTTCTCAGCCTTACCTCAACAAGCTTGGCTACCAGAGAGCCGACCATGAGGACCCTGCCCTAAAGAAGACAGCTTTCAGGATCAATCTTGCCAAACCCAACCAGAACAATATCGATGAGACCAATGGGCCCATTTATGCCTATCGAAATCTGAAGGACTGTGATCAGGCTCCCGTCACAGCCAACCACTTCCGATTTTACCGAGTGGAGGTGGACAAGTATGAATATAACGTTGTGCCTTTTAAAGAGACTGACTTGACCACTTGGACAGGAGACTACCTCTCCTGGTGGCCGAACCCTCAAGAATTCCGGGCCTGCTACATCAAAGTGAAGATTAATGGGCCATACGAATACATGGTGAGGTCACGAAATGTGGGTGGCAGTCATCCAATGACTCGGGGACAACTGTATGGCCTAAGAGATTCCCGTAGCATCCGGGACGTGGAGATACATAACAGCTCGGCAGCCTGCGTTGAATTCAAATGCAGTGGGATGTTGTTTGACCAAGGAATGGTGGACAGGACTATAGTATCTGTCATCCCACAAGGGAGCTGCCACCGGACATCTGTCAACAGCTACTTGAGGGAGTATCTAAGCCGTCACCCGCCTGTAGTGGAAAATAATGACACTATGGCTTTCACCATGTTGGCGCCAGTGGATCCCTTGGGGCACAACTATGGCATCTACACCGTGACTGACCAGAATCCACACCTTGCCAAGGAGATTGCAATTGGGCGCTGCTTTGCTGGCGCCTCGGACGGCTTTTCACGTGAGATGAAGTCCGATCAGGGCACAGCTCTGACTTTTACCTGTTACGAAAAGCCAGTTGGGACAAAGAGCTTCTTCCAACGCCTGCTTGAATCCCCGTCCCAGACGCTGACTGAGATGCGTCGCGAGATGAGCGCCAACGAACAACTCCGGGGCCCTTCTCAAGTGGTGGCTTACCCAACTGGATTACGGACCGTGTTTTCTACACAGCGCCGTCCCAGCCGCCGAAGAAGGGTGGGTACTTCTCTGATCCAACAGTGAGCAGCAAGAAGAAACATTTGTTAATCTTTGTGATCCAACCGCACTCTGCAGCTCCTCAGGATGGGTATCTAAGTGGGCAAGACTCACTGTAGCAGGTTTTATTCTCACAGCCTTCAGAATTCATCTTAAAATGTACCACATCATAAAGTACTTTCTGCCAATCTCCATAATCCGATGTGATAAACCTCCCTTCCAGGTCCCAATTGTAGACCTGCTGTGTCCTGAGACTTCTAAACTACTACTATACCACCTGCAGGGGCATTCATAGGGGGTCAAAGTCAAGATGGCTCCCATCCCTATGCAATCAAAGCCACGCCCCTTTTATGCATATTGTAAAACAGGTGGAGTTTCAACTGGACAGTCCCATCCTGGGTGAAGTGTATGCTATTGTACTCTACATTTTTCTAAGGAAAATGGTTTCTCATGTAACATTCCTTTATCCGTTCTCTTTTCTGCTCTGCTCACCATTTTTCCTGGATTACAATTTAGCTGCAGCCTGATTCAGAACCGAAGTACGCACGACTAGCTCTTTTCATTTTTGTTTCTACTATTGGCACATTTCTTTGCCTTCTTTTGCATCACTGCTCAATGGACATTCCTAGAGATTTAACACACACGGAGCATCTCTTGCCTTTGCAGTTTAACAATCTTCCTGTCAGTCCCATGTCATCAACACAAAGCAGCAGTGAAGCACTCTACAAGCAGTCCTTGACTTATGACTGGCTGCTTAGCGATTGTTTGAAGTTACGATAGCAACAGCAATAGCACTTAAGACTTATATACCGCTTCACAGTGCTTTACGGCCCTCTCTAAGCGGTTTACAGAATCAGGATACAAACACCACACCGGACTCTGAAAAGGGGAATTAAGACCCAGATTCAAAATTCTAACGCCCAGGACACTCACCACAATCATGTGACCGCATTTTGGGCCCTTTGCAACTGACTGGCATTTATGGCCATTTGCAGCATTCTGTGGCCACATGACTATAATTTACATTCCCCATCCACCCACCCACCCACCAGTATTTACTTCCAGGATGCTGCAAACACTGCAATGGGTTCGTTTAAAAACCACAGCATTTCCCTGTTATTAAACTCAAATGTCTATTTCTCAGAAAAGGTCTAAATTAATATCAGAACGTATGCATTGTTGGACCATTTTCAAGGTTCTTTTTTGTGTTGTTGTGTTTTAGTAATGTGGGTAAATACCACACACAAAAAAAGATTCTTATCATATAGCACTTACACTGATCTTCCCAGCCTGAGGATATTTGGAAAGCGCACAAAGAATCTCCACAGGAAAGTGTTGGGAATTGTCCACTTTTCTGTTCTTTGAGGTTCTTTGTGCACTTTTCAGATAGCCTCATGCTGAGAAAAACCAATGTATGTGCTATTTGGCAAGACTCTTTTTTGTGTGGTGTTTAACCACACAGCTAAAACACAACAACAACAACAAAAGAATCTTAATATGGACCATCATACGATACCAAAATTGCCTTTTTTTTGTAATGTTTTATTAACAAATGCATACCTATAATAGGTATTATGGATGGGGATGTGGGAAAGTATAATAAAATATTGAAAAAACACACTACAGTACTTATTCATCCTGCTCTGTTATGTCTTTAGATATTAATAAAATAAGAGAGGGTTGCTCATAATATTTCATCTTTGGACCATCTGATTTGGGAACCCAAAATTTGGGTCAAGGTTTGGATTTGAAGATGGAGAATTGAAGGGGCAGGAGGCAAGGAGAAGCAATGGGATGATAAGCATTTCCTTCACAAGAGGTTCCTGCTTCTCTGCAGCCAGGAAGCTATGTTAGAGCTTTAAGTTATTTATTGCAAAATATATGGTCCTGTTTTATTCATTACTAGCTGATAACCCGGCATTGCCTGGGTATTTATTTATCCCAATCCTTTATTAGACAGGAAGAGCAACTTCACCCTGAGCCCTGATTTCGGCGAGAATTAAATTAGTTAATTGTGCCCCCAGAAGCATCAAGTAAAATGATACCACCTTGTTGTTTTGGTAGTTGATCCATGATCATTTGGTGTGCTTTTTTAAAATCTTGATTTAGAAATGGCTTCTTGTCCGCGATATATGCACTAAGCTGTTCGACGTTGTAGTTCTTTTCTCGTATGTAATCTGCGTGAAGTACGTCATGTCGGTTTTGTAGTGGTACAGGCAGGCCGAGTTGCAGTAATGTTTTATTGATCATGGCCATACATTTGTCCTCAAGAATAATCAAAGCCTTGTTGAAAATGTCTGGAGCAAATGTAATTTCTAATGTTGGATTTTCCCCCTTACCAGAGGGAGCCCCCTTGTGGAGTACTGTGAAGCCGTTACCATGGCAACTCCACTGTGCTGTACAGTAGAAGCCATTTTAAGGCAGGACAGTAGAAGCCATTTTAAGGCACTTAAAATGTATCTTAACAGAACACACACCACGAGGGGTGATGGAGTGTCTTCCCCCCCACCAATATTTTTTTCTACACACACACACATAGACACACACAGAGCCATTTATAGATAGATAAATAGAAGATTAGTAGACCTGTGTTTACGGTAATTTTTTTCCTTGTTTCCACAAGAGTAAACCAAATGTTATCAAGGAGGACATGTGACTGGATTGTTTGGACATGAGAGGCGGTGGCAATTTCTTAATTCTCCGCTTTTTGCAGTTAAAGGTAGTCCTTGATTAACAACTGTTGGGTGACCATTCAAGGTCACAGCACTGAAAAAAGTGACTTATGATCATTTTTCACACTTACGACCGTTGCAACATCCCCATGGTCATGTGATCAAAATTCAGACACTTGGCAACTGACTCATATTTATGACGGTTACAGTGTCCTGGGGTCATGCCATCCCAGAGGGATAGAATCAAGATCACGTGAAGTGTTAATACCACTTTATAATGCCTTGGTAAGGCCACACTTGGAATACTGCATTCAGTTTTGGTTGCCACAATGTAAAAAAGATGTGGAGACTCTAGAAAGAGTGCAGAGAAGAGCAACAAAGATGATTAGGGGAGTCTGGAAGCTAAAACATGTAAAGAATGGTTGCTGGAATTGGGTATGTCTAATTTAATGAAAAGAAGGACTAGGGGTGACATGATAGCAGTGTTCCAATACCTCAGGGGCTGCCACAAAGAAGAGGGAGTCAAGGTATTCTCCAAAGCACCTGAGGGCAGGACAAGAAACAATGGATGGAAACTAATCGAGAGAAGCAACCTAAGGAGAAAATTCCTGACAGTTAGAACAATTAATCAGTGGAGAACTTGCCTCCAGAAGTTGTGAATTCTCTGACACTGGAAGTTTTTAAGAACATGTTGGATTTGTCTGAAATGGCATAGGGTCTGAGAAGGGGGTTGGACTAGAAGACCTCCAAGGTCCCTTCCAACTCTGTTATTCTATTCTATTCCTTTTGCAACCTTCTGACAAGCAAAGTCAAGGGGGAAACCAGAGTCACTTAACGAGTGTGGTACTAACTTAACGGCTGCAGTGATTCGCTTAACTTGAAGTGTGGCAAGAAAGCTGGTCAAATGGGGCAAAATTCACTTAACAGCTGTCTCACTTAGCAACGGAAAATTTGGGTTCAATTGTGGTCGTAGGTCGAGGACCACCTGTATACGTCCAGCTATCTTTGGTCCCCTAGCTTTAGGCTTTTCAATCAGTAAAAAAAAAAAATGTCAGTTTTGTTTCTTTTTTTAATATTATTCATGGAAAAAAGTCCCAACAGAGACTTGCTCTCTTCCAAAAAAACCTGTTTAGGCTACATTTGGAGGGAAAAAAAGTAAGCATGGATTGGTTTCAGCTAGACATTTTCCTCCCTGGAAATTCAGCAGAACTGAACACCCCCACTTCCAAACAGAGGAACGTGCCTGCTTGTCCACCTCCACCGGGTGGAAGGAACCGAGCTTTACAAGACACCTCTAAGCTCAGAGCCTGTGGTTTGGCATCCTCCGTGCCTCCGTTTCTCCATCCTGCTCTGTTTATCCAGGAGCAGTAATGAGAAAAGCAGGCCAGGGTGTTAAGAGGAAGAAGGCAGCAAATTCCTGGTGCTTGGAAAGCTCTTGAGTTGGCCTCAGCTGCTCTTGTACCTACAATAGCACAAAAGAGGAGGAAGGACCAAAATCAACCACTCGCTCCATTCCAGCTTCCCCATTGTTCTTGCCAAATGCTAACCGCTATTACCTGCCTTGACATGTGGCCTAAACCCAATACAAATGTACAAGTTGTTGGCTGCCTTCGGTTGCTGGCATTCTTTGTCGCCACAAAGGAACAACGGCTCACCCAGATGCCAACAATGCTTGCTGGTTTCTGAAGGCCAGGTGGTGCTTGCTAGCTAAGAGCGGAGGCTAAAGAGAGAAGAAAAGAGAACACATAGTGGTGGGGACTCACAAATATTGCCCTTTTATGCAGCACGGGCAGATATTTCAATGCCCAGGTGTGCAAAGATGCTTTTGGATACCTCCCTTAGGGGTTTGCTGTGCTTTCTGCCCTTATCTCTATAAAGATAGTCCTTGACTCACAACCATTTGTTTAGTGACCATTCGAAGTTACTGAAAAAAGTGGTTTATAACCAGTCCTCACACTTACAACCACCACGGCATCCCCATGGTCACATGACAACTGCCATGTGTTTACAACTGTTGGAAGAAATATCCATCTGGTTCAGTTCCAAGTCGGGAGAAAGACACTGGAGACAAAATGGAGGATGGAGGCTGATTGGACTTAACAGGAAAGAGCGTCCATTTATTGACGAAGCAAAAGGACATGGGTGGTTCTGGGCAGCTGACCACATGAAGTTGAGAATGAGAGTTATATATACCTTCTCTTGGGCCTTGCCCTTGAGCTTCCTGTTTCTGGGCAAGAACATGTATTCTATTGGCTGTTGTCAGATTCTCACGGGGCCATGTACAAATCCTAGGAGCTTGTCTGGGATAAGTTTGGTTGAAGCTTGGGCTGATGTAATGTCTTTAGGAGATTTTGTAATGCAGTAAACCCTACTGCTAGATAATCCTATTATGTCCTGGAGGGCCATGTCTTAATCCCATCACTCTGGAGCTGAAGGTCTTTTGTCTTGTAGATAGGCTGGCCCAGTCCTGCTAGGGCTATTAAGAAAGGTGGGGGCTGCTTTCCAGGAGCATATTTCTCCTTTAGGGAGATATAACATTCTGCCTTTTTTTAAATATTTCTCAAAATATTTAATTCTTCTAGGAGAGGGGTGGGTGCTAACTTTATACACAACAGTTGTAGCATCCTGGGTCACATGATTGCCATTTGTGACCTTCCCAGCTGGCTTCCGACAAGCAAAGTCAACGGGGGTGGGTTGGGGAAATCAGGTTATTCACTTAACAACTGCAGTGATTTCCTGAACAACTGTGGCAAAACAGGTTGTAAAGTTGGGCACCGTTCCCTTAACAACTGCCTTATTTAGCGATGGAAATATGGTCATAAGTTGAGGACTATCTGTGTTTATTTGAGGAGGCTTCCAAATACATTTTAAAACACTTTTGTGCTACAGTACGAGCAAAACATTGTGTTCCAAGATCATGTAAGAAGCAGTAAACAGGGCAAAGGGCTGGGCAGATGGCGACTATTATCTCAGTAACAACCCCATGCAATGCTCATCTTCTTCCACAGATAAAGTTTATGCAGTCACAGACCAGTTCAAAATAAAAATGCTAAAAATAAAATTATAAAAACACAATCAATGACGGCCAGCTACAACTGAAACTAGTTCTAGAAATTTCCCCCACCCATCAAAGAAATGTGTACATCAGTAGTGGGTTGCCCCCAGTTCAGACCGGTTCGCAAGAACCGGTAGTAAAACCGGCGGGAGACCCCAATGTCATCAGGAAGCTTCTGCGCATGTGTGCGGTCCCGTTGCAAACCGGTAGTAAAGGTAAGTAGAACCCACCCCTGGTATACATGTGACACACTTGTGTATGTGTGTACATATATGCACCAGTGGTGGGTTGCCCCCGATTCGCACCGGTTCTATAGAACCGGTAGTAAAACCGGTGGGAGGCTCCGCCCACTGACCCTCACGTCATCAAAATGGTTCTGCGAATGCGCAGAAGAGCGTGCACGCAAGCGAGCAAAGCAAGCGCGCGTGCGCTGCCCCATTGCGAACTGGTAGTAAAGGTAAGTAGAACCCACCCCTGATATGCACACGTACAGCCTGCCAGAAGCTGTGGAAGACCAGGATAAGGCAAAATTCTGTCGACTTAATAGTGACACAAGTGCTAATTATCTGAAAATGAAAATATCCATTTTATAACATCAATTTTCCCTCTGTCATCTACAGTATATCAATCCCTTTCTCATACACAAAACCATTCTTATAGACTGAAATATAAATTTCCTTCTGAGAGAAACAGCAAAAAAAAGAGAGCAGGATTTACATTGGCAAGTGAAAGGATTAATT